AGTAACTGCAAGGGTTGACAGAAGATGATCTGTCACAGAAGACCACAGAGGACCAATATCAGAAGATGCTCAAGCGTACAAGTTCCAAGTGACAGAACCTCTGTCGTGTCTCACAGAGGTTCTGGAAACTGGTCCTCTGGAAAGACAATGCTTCAAGACAAAGACGACAGAACCTCTGTCATGTCTCATAAGAGGTTCTGGAAGTTTTCTTCTACGTCAAGTGTGCTCTCAAGTTATATCCAGCAGAGCCTCTGTGATGTATCACAGAGGGTCTGCAGCATGTCTTCTGTATAGATCTTCTTTAGCTGTTTTACTTAGGTCTTTTAGCTGCTCGTGCTTATCACGTGTTCTTGTCTGTAATTTGTTTTGATCGAACGACTTAGATTAATTTACATTAGGTCGTGTCAGAAAACGGTTATCGACTTGTATAAATAGCAGCGTAGGCCTTTGTAATTCAGCGTGCTTCCAGAATTGTAATTGTCAATATTTTCATCTAATTGAAAATCATTTGAAGCTCTCTCTCTTGTGTTCATCATTAATCTTCATCTGTGTTTATTGATTTCTACTTTGGTTGATTATTATTATTTCCGCTGCATTCTCACTGTTAAACAGATCATCCAAGTAAGTAATCTTTACCAMGAATCTGAGTTAATCGATCCAACAATTGGTATCAGAGCCAGAATCAAATTTTTATTTGATTTATACTATTCTTGGTATTCATCTTTATACATTCAAGAACACACAGTCGTCTTCTTCACCAAGTTACCCTGTTTTCACTGTTTTATCAATTTTCTTCACTTTCCTTTCGATTCTTCTTCTTACAATGGCAAATATGGCCAATACATCCTTATGAGTATTGGTTCACAGTCTAAACATCCTACACTCATTCGCGAAGAATACCCACAATGGAAAGTTTGAATGGTGAACTTTCTCGAAGGGATTCATCCAAGAATCTGTGAGTTCCTGTACAACCCTCCCTACGTCCCAATGAATCTAATCCCTAGAGTTCCAGCAACTGGAACCACACCTAAAATTTCTGAGCACTACGAACCGCGTCCTGAAGCTAACTGGAGCGACGAGGACAAGATTATCGTCGATTTGGGGAACAAATGTAAACGATTATTGATCATGGGAATTCCTAATGACATCTTCAAATGTATTGATCACTGTCAACTGTCCATGGAAATCTGGGCAGAACTGGAAAAACAAATCGAAGGTGGAAGGAAAACGCTAAAGAACAATCGTTCTATCTGCATCGACGAGTACTACAGTTTCAAGGCCAAAGAGGGCGAGTCTCTGTTGGATACATACGCGAGACTAAACACGTTAATAAGTAACTGTAAGAGGTATGGCATCCAGAGAACAACAGAAGAGAACAACTCGCTTTTCTTGAAAAGCCTTGGGGCTGAATGGATGAACATCACTATGTCCATGAAAGCCATCCTTGATTTGGTAACATGGACTTCGGCAGATTTGTTTGGATCTCTTAAAAGCCAAGAGTCCCAAGTTATGCAAATGAAGAGAAACTTGGGTGGCCCTCTGGCTCTAGTTGCAGAGGACGGGTGTTCGGGTAAGGGAAAGGAGGCAAAGGAGGCAAAGGAGGCAAAGGAGGTAAAGAAGGAGAAGAAGAAGAAGGTGGTGCTGCTTGCAGACAGTGACAATAGCTCTGAGGAAGAAGAGATCTCCATGAAGGAGATGATGAAGACTCTTGCATTAATCACAAGAG